AACTTCATTTCTGTGTTTGCTATCTCCAGGAAAGAAGTAAATAGACGTAGAGGGACAAAGAAATAAACTTTCAAGTGGGACGAGGCAACCAGAGCAGCTAAAGAAGGGCAGACTGCAGGCATCAGCTTTTTTTTTTTTTTTTTTTTTTTTTTTTTTTTTTTTTTTTTAGTTTTTTTTTTAGTTTTTATTTGAACACAGTATTCTGACAGAATGCAAAGTCAAAATCCTCAGTTAGTATCAGTATTTACACCAGTGAGAATGGGGATAAAGGTGGAGTCGATGTTTCACTCGGTAAAAAGATTTTTTGTTTTTTTCTGTTTTTTAACAAGATAGAAGGCCCCCAAAAGTAGGGAATGCTGGGGAAGGATGGCCATGGAGGGGCTGAGAACAACTACCAAAACAGCCTGGTGGTGAAAGACGCGGGGTCCGAAGGCTCCGTGGAAAAGTGTGAAAAGAAAACGCCACTCTGGAAGCTGACGGGCGGGATGCACTACTGTCACCGGCACGAATGGTGCAGCACGAGATGGCACCGCTCCTGTGACACTGGGGACAGGCAGGGGGCGGCCACGGCAGCGCCACCGGCCCCGGGTGGACACACGGAGCCACGGCAGTGCCACCAGCCCCGGGTATTGACCCACGGAGCCATGGCAGTGCCACCAACCCTGGAGCAGCCATGGCAGTGCCACCAACCCTGGAGCAGCCATGGCAGTGCCACCAACCCTGGAGCAGCCATGGCAGTGCCACCAACCCTGGAGCAGCCATGGCAGTGCCACCAACCCTGGAGCAGCCATGGCAGTGCCACCAACCCTGGAGCAGCCATGGCAGTGCCACCAACCCTGGAGCAGCCATGGCAGTGCCACCAACCCTGGAGCAGCCATGGCAGTGCCACCAACCCTGGAGCAGCCATGGCAGTGCCACCAACCCTGGAGCAGCCATGGCAGTGCCACCAACCCTGGAGCAGCCATGGCAGTGCCACCAACCCTGGAGCAGCCATGGCAGTGCCACCAACCCTGGAGCAGCCATGGCAGTGCCACCAACCCTGGAGCAGCCATGGCAGTGCCACCAACCCTGGAGCAGCCATGGCAGTGCCACCAACCCTGGAGCAGCCATGGCAGTGCCACCAACCCTGGAACAGCCACGGCAGTGCCACCAACCCTGGGGATGGACACATGGAGCCGTGGCACTGCCACCAACCCTGGAACAGCCACGGCAGTGCCACCATCCCTGGGGATGGACACACAGAGCCATGGCAGTGCCACCACCCCCGGGATGGACACACGGAGCAATCACAGCAGTGCCACCAACCCTGGAGCAGGCATGGCAGTGCCACCATCCCCGGGATGGACACACGGAGCAATCACAGCAGTGCCACCAACCCCAGGGATGGACACACAGAGCCACAGCAATGTCACCAACCCTGGGGATGGACACATGGAGCCATGGCAGTGCCACCAACCCCAGGGATGGACACATGGAGCAGTCACAGCAATGCCACCAACCCTGGAGCAGTCACGGCAGTGCCACCAACCCTGGAATGGACACACAGAGCCACAGCAGTGCCACCAACCCTGGAATGGACACACAGAGCCACAGCAGTGCCACCAACCCTGGAGCAGCCACGGCAGTGCCACCAAGCCCAGGGATGGGCACATGGAGCAGTCACAGCAATGCCACCAACCCTGGAGCAGCCACAGAAGTGCCACCAACCCTAGGGATGGACACACAGAGCCATGGCAGTGCCACCAAGCCCAGGGATGGACACACAGAGCCACAGCAGTGCCACCAACCCTGGAGCAGCCATGGCAGTGCCACCAAGCCCAGGCTGGTGTCCCCTCAAGGGGACAGATCACAGCTGTGAGGCTGCAGCCGGCTGGACCGGGGCAGTTGGAAACGAAACCTGAAATTCTGTGCTGCTGAGCCCAGCACAGGTGTGGGGAGGGTCACTGAAGGAGCTGCTCCCTCAGTGCCACCCCCAGACTGTCACCAGCGCTGGGCTGGGCTCTGAGCTTGTCCCCTTTTGGGACAAAACCTCCAGTCCAGGCGAGGCTCTCCCCCAGTGCCTCTGGCAGCTGCTGGTGGAGGTCCCTGGGCAGGTTTTTGGGATGGTGCTGTGGCTCCTACCAGCTGCTGAGCTTTGGGGGTTACAGCACACACAGGTGACAAAACCAGCCAGAACTGGGCACAAAAAGGGACAAACTGTGCTCGGGCACGGGGATGGAGGCACCGCTGCTGCCCGCCTGGTCTGTGGACTCGTTTCTTTGGGGAAAAGAAAGGAATCCTCGGGACCAAGGTCCCCGGAGGTCAGGGACACTGCTGCGAGGGTGTCACCAGGGCTGGGTTGGGGGCAGCCTCAGGCTGCACCCTGCCCGTGCCCCCCAGGAGCTGAGCAAAACAAAACCAAGAAACCCCACAGTTAGCAAAGACAAGAGCATTGTTTCTCACAGCTGGGATGGTGGGATGCCACTGGAACAGAGTGCACATTCCCAAAAAACACACGGACACAGCCTCCACAGCCCTCCTCCTCCTCCTCCTGGAACGCCAGAGTCACCTCGGCTCGCTTCTCTCCTTTCAAGGCTTCTGCTCTTTGTAAGAGTTGTTCTCTTTCTCTCTTTGTTTTAAATTAATTCCTGAATGTTTATTTTTCTTTTATTTTTCTCAAATCTGAACTAGCGCTACACCTTCCACATCCAAACTATGTTGAAGCTTTTATTATTTCAATACTATGACAAAAAACACGGTTCACACTAAAATAGTCACGCACCCACAGTGCACAAGCTTGCAGATCTAAAGTAGAATTAAAAAAAAAAAAAAAAAAGGAAAATAAAAGGGAAAATAAAATAAAAATAAAAATAAAAAAAGGAGGAAATAATATCCAAAACCCCAACAGGAGGAAGGAACCTCTCTATACAATGGGCTGGTCTCTCCCTACACTCCTCTGCCTTCCTTCTGCTCAAAGCTCCTTTTCACCCCCAAATCTCAGTGTGCTCCATGATTCCTGAAAATAAATCCCATGGATCAGCTCCCCCACCCCAAATCTCAGTGTGCTCCATGATTCCTGATAACAAACCCCATTGATCGGCTCCCCCATCCATAATTTGATTTTTAGGGTGCTGCCTCAGCCCTTGCCCAGGGATGGCCCTGGCACAGAATTCCAGCCCCTGCTCCTGATTCCAGGACTGGGTCCTGCTGGAGCTGGAGCTGCAGGAAGGGTCTGGGGTCTGCCCAGCACCTGTGGGATAAAAATCTTTACTTCTGGGTTTGTTTTAGGGTTAGAGGTCACGGTATTTTCTGAAATGGGTGTTTACTGAAATTGAGATTTTCTGAAATTTGGATTTTTCTGAAACTGGGACTTTCTGAAATTGGGATTTTCTGAAATTGGTGTTTACTGAAATTGGTGTTTACTGAAATAGGAATTTACTGAAATTGGTGTTTACTGAAACTGGGATTTTCCGAAATTGCTATTTACTGAAATTGCTATTTACTGAAATGGATATTTTCTGAAATTGGCATTTTCCAAAACTGGAATTTGCTGAAATTGGAATTTACTGAAGTTGGGATTTTTCTGCAACTGGAATTTTCTGCCCTGATCAGGAGGGATGGATTTGGTCACACACTTGAGCCCAGACCAGCCCAAACTGTCCAACCTCCCTTGTGCTCCCCAGAGCTGCGGGAGGGCTCCGTGAAGGAAAGGGGAGAATGTCCTAAAAAAGCAGAGATGATATTTCTCTTATGCAGTCAGGCCCAGGTCCAGCGAGGGACTTCAAAACTAAATTTAAGCACAGAAGGATTTTCTCCAGCAAACCCCAAGCAGGTTTGGGGATTGCTGGGTAAAGCCCTTGACTGGTGGCAAGTGGTTTGAACACCCCCACCCCCCAAAAAAACCCCAAACCAAACCCCAGCATCGCTTTTCTTCTTACTCCAGTAAGAAATAATAATAATAATAATAACAATAATAATAATAATAACAATAATTAAGAAAAGAGAAAAGGGGAAACGACTACTGTAAACATCCATGGTTGAAAATGTCTCCCTTTGCAAAGCAAGCATGCTGCTACCCTAGTGTCTACAGGACTGGATTGACTGAAAAAACAAAAAAAAAGAAAAAAAAGGCAGCTATTTTACACATCCATTTCAACACAACAGAAGTTAAAAAAATATCTGTCAATTGTAAACACTGGAAAGAACCAAAGTTGGCCAAAACAACAAAAGAAAAAAAAAAATTGAAGGTAAAATTGGAAAAAAGAAATGTAGAGTCTGAATACTGCAAATTGAAATACATCCCCCAAAGCTGCAATTTTGGCATTCTTCCTAAAAAACAGATAATAATAATAAACCCCAAATAAAGGTCTAACGTGGCGAGCAGGATTCAGTCACAAAGAGCTCGAGACACTTTGCATACTGACCAGATACAAGGTGAACAGAAATTATAACTTATTTATGAGACTTTACATATTTCAAACTCGACTGAAAAGTATAAAAATAAATTGTGGACTTTGTTCTTTAAGCACCAGCTGTGCCCAGCAGCACAGTGGTTATCTCTGCTATACTAACAAAGGAAACAACAGGGTCTCTTTTCTTTTTTTTTTTGTCTTTTTTTGTGGTTTTTTTTGTGTCTAGGACTACTTGATTTTGAGCTTCCCGACCACATTGCAACCAGCATTGCAATGTTTGCCTGTTTGAATATACACAGGGCCAGCTGGGCCCTGATTTGGTGACGGGTTTAACCCTGTTTTTAACATGTTTTACTTTTTAAAAGCAAGTGCACAACGAATAGAACCTTTCTAGAAATCTCAAAGAAAGCAAAAAATAGAAATTAAAATTAAAAAAAAAAAAGAAAAAAAGGGAAGAGAAGAGAAAAAAAAAAAAAAAAGGAAAAAAGAGACATTCCCTCCCTCCCTCCCCCCACTGATGCATTTTTCTGGTTGGTTGGTTTGTCTTTCTTTTTTAAAAAAAGGCAACAGACACTAGAGGAATGAGATGGGTGTGTGGGTTGTGATTTCAATGCTCGGGTGAAGGTTTCCGCCGTCCCCTCCGCGGTGCTGATCATGCTTTGCTCTCGCTCTCGTTTGTTTGTGTGGCTTCGTTGGGCACCGTCTTCACTTCTGCCGGGGGGCTCTTCCTGTCCTGCACGGCGCCTTTGTCCTCTGCTGGCATTTTCCTGGGGAGAAGCACCACAAGGACGGGGTTTAGAGGCACACAAACACAGGCTGGGAACAGATCCTGCTGGGAGAGCAGAGCCAAATTCCCTGAGCAGGAGAAAGGAGAACCGAGCTCAGCTCCCCCACCCTGCTTCCTTTAGGTGCAGGTTAACTTTTTTTGGGCTTGCCCTGGCTTGGTTCAGGACTCAGCTGCCGGAGCAGCAAAGGAAACCTCCCCCAGCTGCAGAAGGATTTGGCTTTAGCACCCCCAAGTCCCTGACAATTTAGCAGCAATCCCATTTTTTGTGCTCCTACGGGAAGCCAGTCCTGAAATCCCCGGGATGCTGGAGAAAGGGGAACACAGAAGACAGGAATTCTGTCACAGACACTTTCACAAGCCTGAGGGAGGTGACCACCCTCAGAGGTGACAACTGCCAGCCCGGCCAGGGTCCAACATCTGCAGCACAGCTGGGACCCCCCCAGCCCCCTGGGGCTGCTCTCTCTCTCCTGCCCAGCTCAGGGTGCTCTCCCCTCTCTCAGCCAGGCTCATGCTGCCCCAGCTTGGGGACAACTCCAGAGCTTCCAGTGCTGTCACTCCTGCCCAGGGCACTGCTTGCTGCCCAGCCTGACCCCGGGTGAGCCCTGAGGCTCCTCTGACCTGCACGAGATGGGATCTGGGGGCTGTGCTCGCTGACCTGCAGGACCTCAGCACCCTGAGGAGACCAAACTGGACTGTTTCTGCTCTTCCTTACGAAAGAATATCCCAGGACAGACAAAGCTGCCCAAGAGCCTGAGGAACCACACATTTCTGACCAACTCCCAGCTTCCTGTCCCCTGCCTCCCTGGCACAGCCTATCCCTGCTCTCCTCTGGCACCTTCCAAACCAAGCTCTGAGGGCTCTCAGGTGAGTTAGGTGGCTAAGGAAACAGCGAGATTAGTCAAGAGAACACCCAACAGAGGACACAGCACGAGCACCAGGGCACGAGGGACACAGCACACAACCAACACAAGAGTAAAGGTGGCCGTACTCGGTCTCTGCGGGGGCAGAGCTGTCTGCAGCAGCAGCAGCAGGCTCGGGGGCTTGCCCACCAGCCCCGCTGGCAGCAGGAGGAGAAGCAGTGCCAAGAGCTGCAAAAACATCCTTGGCAAGGTCAATGTCTGGTGGCTTGAAGGTCCCTTCGTCCATTTTAAAGTCCTCGTTCTGCGAGGGGTTGGCGGCGCTGCCCGAGGCAGCCTCGCTCTTCACGTTGCTCGGGTTCTTGGGGGTCTCTGCTGGGCTCTTCACCGTGCTGGGCTGCACAGGCTCCTTCTCGGGGCTCTTGGCCACCTCCTGCTTGGCCTCTGAGGGAGCTGCAGGGCTCGTGAGGTTGGCAGGGCTGGAGGCGGCCGCCTTGCTCCCGGCACCGGCGGCGTCGGCGGCGCTGGGGCTGAGCACGGCCTGCCCCGGCAGGACACTTGAAGATAAATTACTGGTGGCCGGAGCGGAGCTGGGGGTGTCGCTGAGATCAACAAGAGGGGCCACTTTGGGGGTGGAGGAGGGCGGCGGTGACGACGCCGGGGCGGCGGCCGCGCCTTTGGCCGGGGTGGCCTGGCCGGGGCCGGCGGCGTCGGGAGCGGCCGCGGCCGGAGGGGCAGTGCTGGAGGTCAGCGTGGTGCTCTCGCTGGTGGGGCTGTTCTGGGCAGTGGCAAAGGTTTCAGTGATAGTGTCAGAGTTAGTGGTGCCCGTGGTGACAGAAGGCAGCATGTCCTCCACGGTGGCCGCGGTGTCGGCGGGGTGCCTGCGAGGGGGACACGGGGACGAGAGAGAGAGAGAGAAACAGAGAAAGAGAGAGAGAGAGAGAGACAATGAAGGCCCGAAACGACAGCAGGGAGAGGGGGCAGAGAGGGAGAGTGAGGACAGCACACACAGTGACGTGGAGGGGGACTGAGGAGCAGAGACATGCAGAGGTCAGACATGCAGAGGGAGCCAGGCTGGGATGGCTGAGGATCATCAGGAAGAGGAAAAGGCCAAGAGGATGTGACCTGCAGGAATGGTTTGTTCACGTGCACTGTTTGGGCTGAGGCAAATGGATCCTGTCAGCTTGCAGAGACTCTTCTCACCTACAACTCTCCTCTCAGCCTGCTGGTCCTGACCTCTCCAGGCAGCTCTGCCACCCCCCTGAGCCTGCAGCCCTGTGCCACCAACACAACACGGTGCCAGCGTGGCACCCTGCATCCAGCTCCTGCTGCAGGTCTGTCTGAAGGCCTGCACAGCCCCCCTCGGACCCAAACTCCTTCCTCACACAGGAGTGCAGACTCTCAGCTCTCTCTCAGCATGCTCAGCCTTGCTGTGACTCCACATCCTGGGGGGGATCTCTCCCCACGGCTTCAGCTCTCACCCAGCACTGCTGGGGCAGTGCTGGATCCTTTGCAGCGACCCTGGACAGTGCTGGATCTCCACATGGGACAGAGCCTTTCAGGAAACGCTGCTTCCTTCCCCTTTCCCTTCCAGTGCTGGCCACAGCAACCACTGAAGCTCGACAGGAGGCACTTCCTCACTGGCACGTGGAGATTTTACCTTTCTTCCTCTCTTCCTGCCCTAACGGGTGTTCCTGAGGGACTGGGGCAGCTGAGGGCAATGCAGTGACCCTGTGCTAGGGCTGCCTAAGGCCACATACTCTGGCTCTGTCAGCGGGGTGGTCTCGTTGGGCTCCGTGTGCTTCCCCCCGTCGTGGTTGGGGGTCCTCTCCTCCTCCGTCCGAACCTCCACGATCGGCTCCTTGGACTCATCCTTCCTGTAACGAGGAACAGCATGGGGAGTGATGGCTGCTCCTGCAGAGACAGCCTGCACAGGGCCACAGGGAGACACGGCACGGGCTGAGCAGCTCCCACTCCGGGGTCACTGCTCCCGCTCCGGGGCCACTGTTCCCGCTCCGGGGTCACAGCTCCTGCTCTGGGGTCACTGCTCCTGCCAGCACCCAGCACTGAGCTCCAGGGTCACTGCTCCTTCAACACCCAGCACTGAACTCCGGGGTGCGCTCTGGGGTCACTGCTCCCGCTCCGGGGTCACTGCTCCTGCCAGCACCCAGCACTGAGCTCCAGGGTCACTGCTCCTTCAACACCCAGCACTGAACTCCGGGGTGTCCAGCACCGGGGTGTCCAGAACTGGAATGTCCAGCACTGGGATGACTGGGACATCCAGAACTGGGATGTTCAGCACTGGGATGACTGGGATGTCCAGCACTTGGATGTCCAGAACTGGGGGTGTCAAGCTCTGGGATGTCCAGCACTGGGATGTCCAGAACTGGGATGTCCAGCACTGGGATGTCCAGCACTGGGGTGTCCAGCTCTCGGATGTCCAGCACTGGGGTGTCCAGCACTGGGATGTCCAGCACTGGGATGTCCAGCACTGGGATGACTGGCGTGTCCAGCACTGGGATGACTGGGGTATCCAGCACTGGGATGTCCAGCTCTGGGAAGTCCAGCACTGGGATGTCCAGCACTGGGATGACTGGGATGTCCAGCTCTGGGATGTCCAGCTCTGGGATGTCCAGCACTGGGATGTCCAGCACTGGGATGACTGGGATGTCCAGCTCTGGGATGTCCAGCACTGAGGCCACCTATTTGATGCCTACCAAGAGGAACAACCCCAAACCCACCTTCCCGCCATCCCCCTCCCCGCAGAGCCCAGAGCCCCCCTCCCTGAGGCAGCTCCTTTGCTGCCCGTGGGGCACGGTTTGGGGGGGAGGATTTGGGGCACAGAGGGGGGGATTTGGGGGGCAGTACTCACGAGAAGGCCGCCTTGCCCTCCTCCATGTCCTTGCCCTTGGCCCCCGGGCCCGACTTGCCGCACATGTTGACGGCGATGCACATCAGCAGCCCGCACTTGTTCAGGAAGTAGCAGGTGACATCCACGGCCACCAGCAGCGCCACGAAGACCACCACGAGGATGCCAATGATGGCAGCAGTGCCCAGGCTCGAGGCAGGGCTAGTGCTGGCTTCAGACACCAAGGGAGAGAAGAAGAGAAGGCGTTCGGGTTAAAATTTGGGGTTTCAGGGCTCAGATTTGGCTGCACTTAAGCTGCTTTTTTAGAAGCCCACCCTCTGTACCAGCCCTGTGCAATAACCAGTGCTTCACCCTCCACACAATCTGCCTGAAAGGATGGCCCTGATGGGGCTTCTCCCATCCCTGCTGGGATAAAGCCTGGGAAGCAAAGAGCAGAATCCCTGCTGTGCACGCAGGGCAGGGCTCCTGCTTCCCTCCTCCTCCTCCTCAAGAGGAAGGTCCAGAGTGGCCCTGGCCCTGCCCAAGGGGCAGTGGAAGCAAAGCCCAGAGTCTGCAGCAGGGTTTTCCTGGTGGGATACAGATGTCTGGGGGATGCTCAGTGCTGGTGAGCCCCTGGGGTGGGGGGACACTGAGTTGAAGCCCTCCTGGAGCTCAGGTGAGCCCCAGCTCTGCAGGACCTGCTCATGGCCCCCCAGCCTCTCACCACCCCACCCCTGCAGCCCCAACCCCCTGGAATCTTTGCTCTGCAGAGCAGAACACCTTGATCCCCCACTTGGACAGGTGAGGAGACCCTTCCCAGGGCTCCAGCCAGAGCCACAGCCTCTGCCATGCATTTGTCTGGTTAAAAACAGGAGGCAGAGAGGTGTTGTTTCATTCTGTGACCCCGAGATGGATCAAGGAGTGCAGATTCCAGCAGGAAAAGGGCAGAAAAGCCAGCGTGAGGCACCTGAGTGACTCTGGAATCACAAGTCCAGCCCATGTGAGCAGAACACTGTCCCACAGCCCAGTCCCTGCCAGCAATCTGACCATGACATGGATTCACCACCCTCTGACGCCTGCAGGGAGTGAGGAGGGCAGGGATTTTCCCCTTTGGGTGTGCTCGGGATCCTTGCAGGGATGATTCAACAACTCAGGTGCTCCTGGAGCTGTGTCACACTTCCCATCCACCCCTCTTTGTGGGCAGGAGCTCCTGAGGGTGAGCCAAGGGCATCAGACTTCCCTGGGTGCCTCCAGAGCTGCAACATTCCCCTTCTGGAGAATTCCCCTCACACCAGAGTGCTGCTCTGTGCCTCCTCTCCCCACTCCAGCTTTTCCAGGAGCTGTCACCCCCAAATTCCTGCTCTGGCAGGCACAGACCCCCTGTGCTCCCCCAGAGCCCTGAGCAGGTACCAACCCTGCTCCTCTGCCCCAGGAGGAGGAGGAGGATGGAGCTGGGGAGAAGCAGGGCAGGCCTGCAGAGCAATGTCCCTGTTCTTGTGCTATTCTGGGATTCCACACCTCACACAAGGGAACTGGGCCAAGGTAACTGCCTGCAATTTGGGTTTCTAGGCTGGCAAGGCAGCCCTGCAATTTGCAGGAACTTTCCAACCTTTTCCATTAGCTGTGGTTTCATAAATCCTAACTCGTGGCATGAATTGAGATTCCAAACCTTCCAGGGACTGGCATAAAGAAACATAATATAAATATAAATATAAATATAAAAATCCTCCACCACCCCGTGGACTCAGGAGGCTCTTGGTACTGCCTTTCTTTTTCCTTGTAAAGGAATTTTGCTGCTCCTACAAAATGCAGGAATCATAGTGGAGATTATTCTTTTCACAGACTGTCCCATCTGATTAAATTAAATTGATCTCCAAATACTTTCTGGAACCATTCCCTCCATCCTGTAGCTGGATTTATGTTGTATTTAATGAAACTAATGTTTAAACATCCCTAAAGGGTTTGCTGGGGCCTAGAACAACACTGTGTACAAAAGAAATGTATAAATAAATGGGCTGTGGAGCAGCTGCTCACACTGTGTGTATGAAATAAATGTAATAAATTGATGTTGGACATTTCTGACCTGATCCACATCCAGCCCTTCCATTAATCCCCTTCTGCCATTCTCAGGACATGGAGGAAAAACATTTCCACCGGTTAAATAAGGAAACACAAACCATTAAAGAACTTCTGGAGTCCTTAATTCTAAAGAAGTGAAGAATTTATTAATTACAAATTACGTTTTCCAATGGAAAATGAGCTTCCTGCGAGAGTGGCTTTTCTAATCCCCCTCATTTCACAGTGCACAGGAAAACCACCCAGCATTTTAATTTCTGCACAAAACCTGCCCTGTCAGAGAGAGCTCAGCTGTGTCTTCCTAGGGGGGTCTCAGCTACACAATGTCCAGGGCACAGGCAAAGAGACAAAAAGAGGGTGGAGAGAAGCAGGTGGGACTGCAGGCATGTCAAAGGTCCTGCAGGATTTGGCAAAAGGAAGAAGAAGGGACAAACCAAACAAAAATCCACTCTGTGCAGCCAGCAGCAAAGCCCAGGTCAGCTCTTTGTTCCCAGGGATGCCAACAGCTCCCAGGGGGAAATTCCCTTTGCAGGAGGTTTTTTTTTTCAGGTTTTCCCTCAGACACTGCCCAGCTCACCCTGGGGACAAGGACCCACCTCTGGCAGGGACAGAAATCCACGTTCCAAACCCTGAGAGTGAGCTCACAGCAGCATCCCCAGGGGATGGGGATTCCCAGAGCTGCCCTGCATTCCTGGGCATTGTGGCCTCAGGGCTCTGCTGTTCCCTGGGCCTCAAGGGACCCTAAATCTCATCCATCCCACCCCCTGCCACGTCCAGGGACACCTTCCACTGCCCCAGGCTGCTCCAAGCCCCATCCAAGCTGGAACACTTGGGGATCCTGGGCAGCCACAGCTGCTCTGGGACTTCCATCCCAGCCCCTCCCCACCTTCACAGGGAAGAATTCCTTCCCAAGATCCCACCCAACCCTGCCCTCTGGCAGTCTGAAGCCACTCCTGTCCCTCCATCCCATGGAAATAATCCCTCTCCCCTTTTCCTGCCAGCTCCTTCAGGTCCCCCCAAAGCTTCTCCTCTGCAGGCTGAACACAGAGTGACACCAAAATCCTCTTTCCTGCCCCAAAATCACCTGCCCACCCCACCCCAGCAGCTCCAAGAGTCAGGAGAAGCTGGTTTTAAAACCTTTTAGATAAAACCTTCTTTTTATCCCCCAGAACCTCGCAGGGGCAGACACCTGCAGCTGCTCCTGGTGGAGCAGGACGTCCCCAAACCTTCCAGCCCAGGAAAACAGCCAAACAATGCTCTGAGAAACAGCTCTGGGAATGTGGAGGGGCTTCAGCAAACTGGGAATCCTGCAAGGCTCTGCAGCCCCCCACACACCCAGGAACTGCAGCTGCCTGTGGCATGGAAATCCCAGGGCTTGAGCATCTTCTGCTCCCACATCTGAGCCTCTGCCTCCTCTCTGCCTTGCCTAAAAACTATTTAAATTTCATTTTACTCACATCAAGGGACCCTGAAATGCCACCCCAAGGGCCTGACAGATTTCTGGTACTTGGAGTGTTACAAACCTGCACAAATTAGTGATAAAAACCCAATTCTGCTCCTTATTTTAACCAGCAGAAAGAAAGAAGCACTTTCTGTCTCCATTCCACGCTGGCTGGGCTCCTGATTGCTGCTGTGGAGTTTGGAATTTCTTCCCAACTGCTGGCCAGGGCTGTTCTCTCTCTGTTCAGAGAATCCTGAACCCCTCTCTAAGGACAGAACCCCCTCCCCAGGTGCTGCTCTCTCTCCACACCAACCACACAAAGTTACAGATATAATTTTAATAACTGTGATTTTGTGAGAAACATCTCAGCCTCAGGCAGCGATCTCCCTCTGTGGATGGGGGGAAACCCACGAAAAGCTGATCCCAGATCTACAACGAGCTCAATTAATCCAGTTAGAGGGCAAATCACACAGTTTTTTTAGTACCAGGATTATTTTGCTGCACTTCAGCAAACTGCAAAGCTCTGACCAAGCGTCTACACTCTACGACACTGGAAATGAGGGGGTTTGTAAAACAAAATAAACCCACAGGCTTTTGTGTGTGACACACCTGGCCCAAGTTTTAAATCCAGACAGGAAAGTTCCCAGCTCACAAAGAACAAGCTCTGAACCAACACAGCAGAGCAGAAAAGGCAGAGTCAGACACGAGTGGGGGCAGGATTTTGTCTGTCCCTGTGAGAATTCTGCCAGGAATTCACCCAGCTGAGAGGGCTGGAGACATTCTGGGCAGACACTTCAAGGGAGAGACCCCTGATTTTAGGAGAGCATCAGAGGGGATGGATTTCCTATCCCAATGGATTTCCTGTCCCAATGGATTTCCTGTCCCAATGGATTTCCTGCTCCAATGGATTTTATATCCCAATGGATTTCCCATCCCAATGGATTTCCTGCTCCAATGGATTTCCTGCTCCAATGGATTTTATATCCCAATGGATTTCCCATCCCAATGGATTTCCTGCTCCAATGGATTTCCTGCTCCAATGGATTTTATATCCCAATGGATTTCCCATCCCAATGGATTTCCTGTCCCAATTGATTTCCTATCCCAATGGATTTCCTGCTCCAATGGATTTTATATCCCAATGGATTTCCCATCCCAATAGATTTCCTATCCCAATGGATTTCCTGCTCCAATGGATTTTATATCCCAATGGATTTCCCATCCCAATGGATTTCGTGCTCCAATGGATTTCCTATCACAAAGAATTCATTGGGGTGGTTGTATCAAGTTTTTTGTGTTTTTTTAGGTTTGGGTTGTTTTTTTTTTTTTTTTTTTTGCTTTTTTTTTGGCTGGGAAGTTCTGGGGTTTTTTTTCAAAGAAGCAATGCAAAAAATCTGAATTTTTGCCAAAATCTCTGACTTTTGCCCAAGGGAACTCCCAGGATTTGACACCAAAGATGGCTCTCCTGCACCAATTTAGCCCAGGCATTAATCCTGCCACACTCACAGTTAGCCAGGAAGATGATTAAGGATCAGTAATAACAATTCTGCTGCTCAGCTAACTCCACCCAAGCCAAGATTTCCTGTTGGAACAGCGAGGGAAGGGATCTGTGTGGCAGCACAGTGCAATTCCAGGGGGGTCAGAGGAGCACTGGCACTGCGTGTGCCCAGCTCCACCAGGAGCAGCCAGGCAGGGACAAGGAGAAGGAGCAGCAGCAGTGCCCCCAGGGGATCCCAGCAGATGTTTATGGTCAGAGCAGCACAGCAGGAAAACCTTCCAGGCACTGGAATCCACATGCAAAAGCCCCCAGAGACATCTGGGCAATCAGCAGGATGGTCTCTGACAAATCTTCTCTTTCTTTTTACAGTCTGTGGGTTTGTGGATGGGGCCTCCTTTTGCACAAGATCAGCACCAGATGTGCAGAGAAATCAGTAAGAAGCAGGATCTTAAAGGCTTTCAACATTGCACCTTCCTTTGATGAAAACAGCAAGCAAACAACACAAAAAAAAAATCTTTCTTTACATCCATTTAAAAGGGCAAATTCATTACAAGTAACAAAAAAAAAAAGAACGTTAAAGAGAAAAAACTTGGCTTAAACCTTTTTTCCTTGTTACAAAATACTGACTCTTTCAAATGAAACATTTTTTTAAGTGTTCTGTTTTGTTTTTTTTTTTCTCTGAACTGACACGATCCTCTGAAGCAAAATTATCTCCTTCCACACCTTGGTGGGACCCAGGCCTTCCCAAGCAAATATTGCTTTATTTGACTCTTTTTTTGTTTTTTTTTTTTTTTTTTTGAAAGTTTCTAACAGAGCAAAAGCAGAGTCACTGCAGAAAGAAGCAATGAGACAAAGGAGGACGACGTTGATGGACTTCCCAAGGTCGCTGCAGGTGCCAGACAATGGTTCCCAGGAGGGGGGAATATGGTTGTTTTAAAAACAAATTTGGTGCATGTGGCAAGCGTGGATGTTCCCCGTGAGATCCAAGGTGACCATGGATGACAGACATAGGAAAGGAATTGGGGGAAAAGGGAGAGGGGAGGGAAAGAAAGGAAGAGAGGAAGAAAAAAAGAAAGAAAAAGAGAGAGAAAGAAAGAGAGAGAGAGAAAGAGAGAGAAAAATAGATAAAAAAAATTAGGTCATAAATACAGAAAACATAAGAATCAAAGGTTTATTTAATCTCGTAAATTAAAATGGCTCAGGGTTCAAGGAGCAGCACATTCACCACAAAAGGGGCAGAAGCTCAGCAAAGCCCAAAGCTGCAGAGCAGGGTCCAAGGCAGGGCGGGTGGGGGGTGCAAGCAAATGAGATTAAAAATGAAGGGACAGAAGGGGCTCAGCGAGAGACAGGGAGATGGTGTCTGGAGCCTGAGAGCACAACGCTGCCTTCAACAGGGAAAAAAAGGGAAAACAAGAAAAGCTTTGGTGCAGCAGAGAATCCACCTGCCCGCCCAAGCCCTGCCCCAAAGCCTGGATAAAAAATCCACTTTATCCTGAAGGAGCACCAAGGTCTCAGGAATCTCTGACTTTGCCATTCAGCCTCCCAGCTGCTTGGGAACCACTCCAATGCCAGTGTGATGATTGTTGTTATTGTAATTATTATTGGTATTATTACTGAAAATAACACCCTTGTCCTTGCAGCCACTCAGAACTCTGCACAGGTGAGGGGGACAAAGGACTCCACACAAGAAATGCACATCTTCCTGCAGGGAATCCCTGGTCATTGCTGTCAGGCACAGCACAATTCCTGTTCCAGCACTGGGTCTGACCCCTGCACGGCTCATTCTGAGACAAAAACACAGAAATGCCACGGGAACACAAGGAAAGGAAAAAGGGACACACAGAGCCTCTTCCCTGCTGCAGCTTGGCAATAAAACCTGTAGGGCTGCACTGCAGAGGAAAAACCAACCTGTCCCTGGAAACATTCTCCTCAGAATTCAGTCTGGGCACCAGGGGACATCTCGGGAGGCCAAAATGACAAAAACCCAGGAGAGAGAGTGACAGAGGCAGCAACAACCACGGCACTGCACAAGGACACAGCACTTGGTGAGGAGCAGCTGAGCTCCAGCTCCTGGGGCAACCCTGCACGCCCAAAAACTGCTTTTCCTCCTGCAACATCTGAGTGGCAGCCTCAGATCCCAGCTCCTCCTGGGCTTCACACCAAGCTAAGCAAGGAATAACTGCAGAGAGGCCAGAGAAGTTTCACCCCTGGTTACAAACTGGCTTTTCCCTGTTTTTTAGAGGGTTCCTGCTCGTGTTACATGGATTTAAAGGGCTGAGAGGGGGAGCAAGGGTTAGAGCTGCTGAAAATGAGAACCACAGAGTGAGTTAATGAGTTACTGAGGGTCCTTCCACCCAAAACTACGCCCTGTTCAAGCACCCCCAGGCTCTCCCTTGGCCCATCTCCCTCCTGCTCACTGCCAGTCCCACTTTTCCCACTTTTTCACCCATTTCTGTGCTCAGCAAGGTGACCTGCCTCAGCCAAGGGGGCTGAGCTGTTCCCTCCAGCCAGGGAATGGGCTCAGGGGAGCAGGGACTGAATTCTCAGGGGAAGACTGAAGGAAACTTTCTGCTCCCAAGAGAAAACATGAATGAAATCCCATCAGGATGGGCTGGCAGCACCAAGCCTGCCTGTGCAGGGAAGCCTTGACTCAGCACCCCTGTTTTCAACCACCACAACTTCAATTTACAGCCACTGCAGCCACCCATCCTCAGGTTTTGGTTGCTTTATGTGGGTTTCCCCCCTGCTTTTTTTAAACGTCCACATGTAGGAAAGAAATCCTAACTGTCCTTTCAACAGATCGCCACAAAGTGCTCAGTTCCAGTTTCCCAGCTGAGAGTTCTGCAGGAATTGTCCTTACCCCTCACTTTATGAGCACACTAATAAGTACAGCCTGTCTTAGCAGCACCCTAAAGCCTTTGAGTTATTTTCTCCTCAACACTGAATCTCTGCTGTTCGAAAATCGCTGTCGTTTGGTGATTTGAACTGAAAAATGGTCTGAGAGATTTTTCACTGCCTTCTCATCCAACTGCCAGCAAACTCCTGATTATCACCTTTACTCCTCCAGAGACGGACTTGGGAAACGTGCCCTGTGAAGAGCACCCCCCCGCAGAGCTGAAGGGAACAGCAATTCCACTTTCCGCTCTCCGAAAGCTTTTCCTACCCCACACAAGGAGCCAACATTCCCTGGGAACAGCCAGGCAGGGCGGGGGGGTTTTTGCCACGGGGGAGCACTCCCACATACCTGCCGCAGGTATGCACGCAGCCACAACCCTCAGCTTCGGATGGGGGAACCAACCATGAGAGGATGGGCTGGAAGCAAGCGAGCTCTGGGGGTTACCGGGGCACATTAGGGCAGCTCGGTGGCATTAAGGGGCAGCAGGACCCGCGGGGGCACAGCAGCAGTACCTGGGATGGCCGTGGGCTGCGCGGACGTGCGGAAGGCGTAGTGGGCAGGCTTGGACTTGCCCTGCTGGTTCTCGGCCACCACGTACACCTCGTAGTCGGCGTTCCAGTCCAGGGACTTCAGCATCACGTGGTCGCTGCCCGACGGCAGCCGGATCTCGGGCTTCCACTCCGAGGACTGCTTCTGCAGGGAGGGCACAGGGCGCGGCTGTCAAAATCAGCACTGCTCTGGGATCCACACAAAATTAATTGTGAAAAATGGGTATTTCACAGGGCGCGGCTGTCAAAATCAGCACAGCCTCGAGATCCACACAAAACTGATAGTGAAAAATGGGTATTTCACAGGGTGCGGCTGTCAAAATCAGCACTGCCTCGGGATCCACACAAAACTCACTGTGGAAAATGGGTATTTCATTTCACAGGGTGGGGCTGTCAAAATCAGCACTGCCTCGGGATCCACACAAAACTCACTGTGGAAAATGGGTATTTCATTTCACAGGGTGGGGCTGTCAAAATCAGCACTGCCTCGGGATCCACACAAAACTCACTGTGGAAAATGGGTATTTCATTTCACAGGGTGGGGCTGTCAAAATCAGCACTGCCTCGGGATCCACACAAAACTCACTGTGGAAAATGGGTATTTCATTTCACAGGGTGGGGCTGTCAAAATCAGCACTGCCTCGGGATCCACACAAAACTCACTGTGGAAAATGGGTATTTCATTTCACAGGGTGTGGCTGTCAAAATCAGCACTGGCTCTGGGATCCACACAAAACTGATAGTGAAAAATGGGTATTTTAATTTATTTTATTTCACAGGGCGTGGCTGTCAAAATCAGCACTGTTCTGGGATCCACGCAAAATTAATTGTGAAAAATGGGTATTTGACAGGGCGCAGCTGTCAAAATCAGCACTGCTCTGGGATCCACACAAAACTCATCGTGAAAAATGGGTATTTCATTTCACAGGGCGTGGCTGTCAAAAGCAGCACTGACTCTGGGATCCACAGAAGGCGGATTCTGAAGAATTTGTATTTTAATTTCTTTTATTTGACAGGGCGCGGCTGTCAAAATCAGCACTGCTCTGGGATCCACACAAAACTCATCGTGAAAAATGGGTATTTCATTTCACAGGGCGTGGCTGTCAAAAGCAGCACTGACTCTGGGATCCACAGAAGGCGGATTCTGAAGAATTTGTATTTTAATTTCTTTTATTTGACAGGGCGCGGCTGTCAAAATCAGCACTGACTCTGGGATCCACAGAAGGCGGATTCTGAAGAATTTGTATTTTAATTTCTTTTATTTGACAGGGCATGGCTGTCAAAATCAGCACTGGCTCTGGGATCCACACAAAATTCATTGTGAAAAATGTGTCTTTTATTTGACAGGGCATGGCTGTCAAAATCAGCACTGCCTCGGGATCCTCACAAAACTCACTGTGAAAAATGGGTATTTCCTTTCACAGGGCGTGGCTGCCAAAATCAGCACTGCCTCGGGATCCTCACAAAACTCACTGTGAAAAATGGGTATTTCCTTTCACAGGGCGTGGCTGTCAAAATCAGCACTGGCTCTGTGATCCACAGGAAGCTGATTGTAAAAAATGTGTACTTTATCTGACAGGGCGTGGCTGCCATAATCAGCACTGATTCTGATATCCACAGGAAGCTGATTGTGAAAAATGCGTATTTTATTTGACAGGCCACTGCTGTCATAACCAGCACTGACTCTGTGATCCACAGAAGGCTGATCAATCTATCTTTGTTAATGTCCCAGACTGCAAGGCCACGTGTATTCTATTTGCCATCTGTTAGATGGTTCTCTTCTGTTCATGGGGCAGTTTTCTTGATCTCTCCCACAGCCAATCCTCCCTCCAGGAGATCTCTGCTGTCCATGGCCAGGGAGTACCCCTGCAGGGCTGATCAAATTCCATCATCCCATGGGGAGATGCTCCGCCCAGGGGAGGAGCCAGGCATTCCTACCTGGATACAATCTGAGGTTTGGAACACCAACACAGCCTTTCCCCTGGATTCCCAGAGGAGCAGCTGCCTTTTCCACTGGATCTTCAGAGGCAGACTCCACCCTCACTTCCTCCTCTCACTCTGCCCCTAACTAAACTATTTCCAGAAGCCAAAACCTGCAAGTTCTGCTCCTACAAAAGCGCTCCTTCGCATCTCAGCACTTCAAATTTAAACCAGCTGAGTGGCAGAGATTCCTCTCCTCGACCCAGCCCCTCCCAGAGCCCGGGGGGCTCAGAAGCTCACAGCACAAAGCTGTGTAAGCCACACTTACAGCTTTGTACTTGATCAGGTAGTGCCTGATCGGGGAGCCACCGTCGTCCTGCTTGATGACGTTCACCTTGATGGAGTTGCCATCCTCTCCTATGTGACCTTCCAGCTTGGGGGCACTGGGTTCCCCTGCAACAACGGGGCAGTCAGGGTTATTTGTGAGGGAAAGAAAAAAAAAAACAAAAAAAAGGCATTATCACATTAACAAGGAAAAAGTGCTTGTAAAAAATCAGAATAATAATTTATCATCCTCAGCTCAGGGTATGAGATGACCCAGGCACAGAGGACACCGTGTGTCTGAGGTAAATACTTCCCACACCCAAGTGTTTCTTGCATTTGAAACAACGAATTTCCATTTTTGTGTGTGCTGGAATGGAGTCAGAGTGAAAGAGATTCTCTCCTCCCCCAAGAAAACCCCAAAGCAATGAGCAATTCCTCACTGCTTCTGCTGTAAGAACTGCTGTGGAACACCTGGCAAACACCTGGCTGCTCCTGGGGGTGGATGTACAGAGCACCACTGGAAAGGACCTCGTGCCTCTCAGACAGACCCAGGTCTGCACTCTGAATTTGTTTAGGGATTTTAGACTTGCTGGACCACTAAATGAGTGTGAAAACACCTGAGCAGGACCCAGAGCACATCCCCTCACTCAGCCTGACTGTGACCTCCAGGGGATGCTGGAGAGAATTCACAGAAACCCCTTTGCTCCTCTGCAACAACCATTTCTAGGAGAAAAAGGCCACCATGTCCCAGGCTGCACCCTGCCACCAGCAGAAAATGGAAATGTCCCTTCCTCTGCAGGACACTCTGATTTACATCCCCAGCCCTGCAACCCACAGCCCCCAAACTGCTTCTCCTGCCCAGCTCCTCAATTCCTCCCTGCCAGGGAGGATCCCAGCCCCACCCTGCAGCTCTGCTAGAAAAGCCAAACACAGAAGGTCCGAGTGCACATTTGCACCCCTGGATTTGTGTCCAGCTCCTCGTGCACAGCTCAGGCACTCCTGAGTGGCCACACGAAGGTTCCTCTCCCAACATCCTTCAAAAGTTCATCTTCAGAAGGAATCTGAAGCCCTTTCCCCTCCCTCCTCCCTTTCAAAGGAATATGAGCACAGTTTTTTGGTGAAACACCAATGGGAAAACTGCAAGGAACTGTGATTGAAGATGAATTCTGTGCTCTTGCACTGTTCCAGGAAGGGAACCCATCAACTCCAGGCGTGTGGGACACACACATTTGTGTCTAACAATACAGCAACTCCTCTGATGGATGTAAAGAGGCAACGCTCCTTTTCTTCCCCAGGCTGTTTTGCTTTTCCAAATCCTTTCCTCTGCCTTTATCCCCAGTGCAGGGCTCCCACACCCCCTGGATGTGGATCCCACCCTGGGACAGCTTTCTCAGTGCACACTGCACAGGAAAAGGTGACACAAGTGTGGTTTAAGGCACAGACAAACAGGAAAACTCCATCCTCACCTGGGCACATCGAACAGACCAGTTAAACAACGATATTCTTTTCCTCCATCCCAAAAGACAAACAGCACCACCAAGTCCCTGCTCTTGGCTGTGGAGCTGAGTGGCAGGAGCTGCTGTGCAGCAACTGAGCTGGTTCATCAGAGCAGGAAAAGCCTGCTTCTGTCACCCTGAGCCCCAAAGCAGCTCCCAGGGGCAGCCCTGGCCCTGCTTTGGGGGAGCCCTGCCCTGCTGGGCTGAAATCTCACAGGGACAGAGCAAGAGCAGCATCTCCTCGCTCCTTCCCCGCTCCCCCGTCTCAGAGATGATCAGTAATGAGCACAGAGATCCTCAAGTGCTGAGGGAACACTGCACTTACACAATCTGACCTTTTCTCTAACACTGCCTGCATTTTTTTTCCCAGTGATTGAGCACTGAAACTAACAGGAACATCCTTTGCAAAGATGCCTATTCTTGATTTCAAATGTCAGAGATGCTGCTGTAGCTTACACACAGCCATTCCCATGATTAATTACCTGCTCTGCTGAAACTTTTCATCACTTTGAATTGTCTAATTTCTAGCTCCTGATTCACTCCTTCCTCCCCCAATAGTTTAAATTAATTTCAGCTTCGAGAAATGTTTCTTGTCAAAGAAAAGAACACTCCTAAGTGCTGAAAACCAACAGGTGGAGCAGTGCAAGCCCTGGTAAAGCATAGTTTTCTCTCCAGAAATAAGGCTTTATTTCATTTATCTCAAGCAGGTGGATGCAATCCAGACACAGGGCTGTAAAATGAAAACTGGGTTAGTGTGTCAAACAGAGGAGGAAGAGGTTTAGTGGGAAAAGTTTAGTCCAGCAGAATCAGCAACCCTACAATGAGTGAAAATGTGAGTAGCTGCAGAGAGAAGTGGTCAGCAGGAGCTCAGAGCAGGACTCATGCTCAGACATGCATGGGGCTGCAAAGCCAGGGGGGCTCCATGCCAGGGCAGAAACCAGCCTGTCCCTCCCTCCCCTGAGCCCTCCCCAGCCCCTAAAACAGGGCAATCCTTGAGGGACCCCACCTGCTGCTGCTGCTGGGCTGGTGAGAGCCAGCAGCTCCACAGAGCCCAGATTTCCTGTCTGATCACCAAATATCTGATTGAAGTCCTCTCTGTGCAGGAGGATGCAGGACCTTGTGCTCCCAGTGACTGAGGGACTGAGGCTGATGCTCAAATTTCCCCCAGGACACTCAGCAAAAGAGAAAAGGGCCAGACAGGAGCTTTAGCTGAGAGAGGAGCAGCCTTTGCTGTGCTGGGATCCAGGACAGCCCAGCCACCCCCACCCTGGGCTCCACAGGAACCCAGGGGCAGTCTGATCAAGAAAATGAGGATTTTTCTCCAGGCTCTCAAAGCCTGAAGGGCTTCCCAAAGCTGCTGGTGGCAGGGGAGCTGAGGGCAGGGCTCTGAGCCATGACATTTCCAATTTATTTCTCACCCAATCCCAGCTAAGCCATCAGCACTCTGCAGGGAGCAGGAAATGTTTCCTGGTATCCTCTCAACCCTTTGGTTTCTGTTCAGGGCTTCCTTGCCCTAACACAGCTCTGCTGGATTGCAGAAATTCTTGTTTTAATTCTGTGTTTCAGAGGGTGCCACGAGCACCAGGAGTGGGTGCAACTTGAGGTGGGGAGAAAAGGGAAGATGAAAAATCACCGAGGTTAAATCCAGCTGGCAGCAAGGCAAGGTCCTGCATCCTCCCTGTGCTCAGAGAGCAAACCTGGAGAATTCTGCAGCAGAGGAACGAGGGGAGGGCTGATTTCTGCAACCTTTGAGCACCACGAAACCAGAACTGGGAACACACACCAGGCAGAGCCTCCAGGAGGGCAAAAACACAGAGCAAGAACAGGCTGGGCTCGGGGTGCACACAAGGGGAGCAAAGAGCAGAAACAAGGAACAGAAGCAGAGCGTGCAGAAACGAGACAGGCACATCTCCCATCCTGCTGGAAAACCAGCACAGGGAGGGGACAGGGACAGGGCTCTGCTGTGCATGCAGCCACGTGGGGAGGTTACTGGTGTTAGTTTTTCCTGAAAAGCCCAGCCTAAATCCTTGCCTGGGGGTGGTCCCAGCCAAAAAGGTGATTCCAGAAGTCCTGGATTGTACAAAGCCAATTCCTGCCTGGCTCTCACAGCTCCTCCTCTGGCTGGGGCAGCAGCAGAGCAGGAGCTTCCCTCCCTCCCCTGCTGGGACTGGGCTCAGAGGGAAGTGTGGCAATGCTGCAGGAGCTGCTCTGCACCAGCCCAGCCTGGGCTGCAGGCTGATCCAGCCCAGACACTGCCAGGCTCAATCTCTGCTCCTTGCTGTGCTGGGGCCCAGCAGCTCCTGTGAGCTCAGCTCAAGGCTTTGCCAGGCTCAGTCTTTGCTCCTTGCTGTGCTGGGGACCAGCAGCTCCTGTGAGCTGAGCTGAGCTCAAAGCCTTGCCAGGCTCAATCTTTGCTCCTTTCTTTGTTGGGGACCAGCAGCTCCTCTGAGCTCAGCTCAAAGCCTTGCCAGGTTCAGTCTCTGCTCCTTGGTTTGCTGGGGCCCAGCAGCTCCTGTGAGCTCAGCTCAAGGCTTTGCCAGGCTCAGTCTTTGCTCCCTGTTCTGCTGGGGACCAGCAGCTCCTGTGAGCTCAGCTCAAGGCTTTGCCAGGCTCAGTCTTTGCTCCTTGCTGTGCTGGGGACCCGCAGCTCCTGTGAGCTCAGCTCAAGGCTTTGCCAGGCTCAGTCTTTGCTCCCTGTTCTGCTGGGGACCAGCAGCTCCTGTGAGCTGAGCTGAGCTCAGAGCCTTGCCAGGCTCCCAGAGCCTCAGTGGGAGGAATGAGGGGCTCTGGCAGGAGCCAGACTTTCCCCCTGATGACATCTGTGTGAGGTCTGGCTCCCACCACGGACCCTGTGCGTGCTGTTTCACAGGATTTATAAGCAGAGTTTTATACAGAGAGAGGATTTTATAACAGCATTTTACAGAGAGACTATTTCATAGCACAGCTCTCATTCTAGCTATGCTTAAGTTTTACTCACAATAAAAAGAAAATGGTTTCTTAAATCAAATTGTGACATACTCCAAATAAGCAGATTTCAGAGAATTCAGGATTTTTCTGGGAGGCTACTAAACATGTACAGCGTGGATGTGTGCACATATCTCTACATACATGTGTATTTTAGAGGGTTAAAATGCTGCTAAAGCAACAGGAGAGAGAGTGCTCCCAGAATTTGAGCCCTCCTTTCCCATCAGATTTGGGTCTGTGGTTGGTCCCACAGAGAGGCAAAAGGATTTTGGCCTTTGGTGCTCATTCCAGAGGATTTTTAGCACCTTCCTAGGACAGTTCCTTGCTGGACTCTGAGAGTGAAGAAGCAAATGACTGAGCCAGGTGATTTTTTTGGGTTTTTTTTTTCCTGTTTTCCCTCCAAGTCTTTTCCAGCTCAAGGCAGAGGACTGAAGTCGAGTTCTTCCCATGCAGACAGTGAGGAGCAACTCCTCCAAAGAGGCTCAGTGGGATTTTTTTTTTCTTTTTTTTTTTTTTGGAATTTGGAGATCCCACAGGGGAATCCTCACCCCAAAAATCTAGGCAACCAATCAGAACAAAGTGTTTTACCTTCTGTTCACCAGCGAGGACGACATCATCAGCACCATGCAAGCCACATGACAAATTCACATGATACGCACGCACATGAGT